ATTATTTTATATCTTAACTTACATTAAGTTCCTTTTAAAGACTAGCAATTAACAAGTTAATATTTTATACTAGCAATTAACAAATTGTTTTCATGAAACAAAGTTAATATTTTATAATTGCAATTGTTTACGTGAAACAAAGTTATTATTTTATACTAGCAATTAACTCATTGTTTACGTTAAACAAACTTAATATTTTATACTAGCAATTAACTCATTGTTTACGTTAAACAAACTTAATATTTTATACTAGCAATTAACTCATTGTTTACGTTAAACAAACTTAATATTTTATACTAGCAATTAACTCATTGTTTACGTTAAACAAACTTAATATTTTATACTAGCAATTGACTCATTGTTTACGTGCAACAAAGTTAATATTTTATATATATTTTGAGTTTTGTTAAAACTGTAGAATGGGCTAAAAGTGTTGACATGCCCACTGCAGAGATCGAATCCTGGATTTTTACCATTGTAAGCAGGCAAGTTTACGACTGAGCTAGGTAACTTTTATAAAGACTTGATTGATATTTTTCTTCGTTCGTTTGATGAATTTTGCGCAAAACCACGCGAGGGCTATCAACGCTAAACGTCCCTAATTTAGCAGTGAATGATAACAAAGAAACCAGCTAGTCAACATCACCCACCTCCAAGAGAAGTGGAATTTTATATTGTTGTTGTTGTAGTAGTAACAAGATGTGAACCACGGATTCTCAGCTAACTATTGAGCCGCGATCGACCTGCTGTGGTTTAAAACGTCAGTCGTTAAAATATCTCAAAATTCGAGTCGGTTTTATACCTTTTAGATTGACGTTTAATTATTACACAGAAGTATAAGAAAATTGTATAAAGTAGAAAATAACATGTTATATCTAAACTTGTGTTTAATGGTATAATTAATTAAATAATAGCGTAAAAAAATCATCACTAGATGTTTTAAATTGCCGTTACATTATCTACTTTCTGATTCTCATCTTATCTTTGAGTCGATAGCACAAGTTAAAACTGTTAATACAAGATAGTACTGAAGTTAATGTGAAAAACTGAAAAGGTTCCTTTTTAAACTAACCTCGCTTCCCGTAATATGCACTCTAGTAAAAGGGAGCCTGTAATGGCCCAACAGCAACAACTTTCCATTGAAAATATTTGTACTTGTAAGATAAACATTTTTAGTTTTTATATTAATATTGCACTTATTATCGAAGTGACTTGCTCTCGAAAAATAAGTACATGTTATAGGATGTATTCTAGATTAATACATCACTCATCGAGATAATTGTGACAAAATATTCAGGAAAAGGTTAATACTTTTCTCCACTTGTCTTGTTAATTATTTATTTATACCGGTGCTGGCTTTCCTTAGATGATATACTGCACAGTGGGAAGCTTTCATTAATTTATGTGGAAATTGCCCCCCTGTTTTTCTTAACAAGGTAACATTTCTTATTGTGTTTAAATTTCACTGAAAATATTTTTGAAACTTCGGAATAAAATGAAACTTGATGGACGTTGTATCTTCTTCCGCCGGATTACTTTTCGTAATTTCTCGAACGTGCATTTTCTTAAACGGACCCCCTTAGTGGCTTAGCGATAACTCTGCGGTCGTATAATGCTATCAATTGAGTTTTGATACCCATGGTGGGCAGAGCACATTGTGGATTTTGTGCTTACTAACAACCAAAGAAAATTTGTTTGTTTGTTATGGATTTCGTACAAAGCTACACGAGGGCTATCTGCGCTAGCCGTCCCTAATTTAGCAGTGAACGACTAGAGGGAAGGCGACTAGTCATCACCACCCACAGCCAACTCTTAGGCTACACTTTTACCAACGAATAGTGGGATTGGCCGTCACATTATAACGCCTCCACGACTGAAAGGGCGAGCACATTTGGTGTGACGGGGATAGTGTGATAGTGTTCATGAAAATTCACATTCTGTGTATTTTCGCGCTAAATACACTTTATATTTTTCCTTTTCCCTATTTTTTACTGTTGTTGCTATAATACAGCAGCACTAGAACACTAGATTGATGTTAACATTAATTAGTTCATCCAGTTCATGAAGAGATCGATAAAACAATCAGTGTAACAGTTCATTTTGGAAATATATGTGTTAAACTTTCTATCTAGATGATGTCTTAGTCATACTCTTCAAGTTTCTGTTACAGACTAAAATATAACTTGGGGCGTAATTCATCTTCAAGAAGAGTGTGTGTTTAAATATTAACGGGGGGTCTTTAAATGGCGAGTTATAGACCCCCACACTTTCATTTAATTCAGGCTTAATTTTGCTCTTCAGAACGGTTCGTACTGAATCGGCCCGGCATGGTCAGGTGGTTAGGGCGCTCGACTTCCCTAATTTAGCAGTGTAAGACTAGAGGGAGAGCAGTTAGTCATCACCACCCACCGCCAACTCTTGGGCTACTCTTTTACCAACGAATAGTGGGTTTGACCGTCACATTATAACGCCCTCACGGCTGAAAGGGCGAGCATGTTTGATTGGGGATTCGAACCCGCGACCCTCAGATTGCGCGGCTAGCGCAGATAGCCCTCGTGTAGCTTTGCGCGAAAATTCAAAAACAAACAAACAAATCGTACTGAATCAAATGGCTTGTTTTAACAAATCCATATTTGGAACTTTAATATATGAGATTGGAGGATTTTGCTTCATACCAGCAACGATTTGCTCCTGATTTGATTTAATAAAATTCTTCGTAAGAGTATTTTTGTACTTTTTTTGTGTCGACAAACAACACATAACCGAAATACTGGTGCCACTCCATTCCATTTCATTGATATCATTAATAATGCATTCGATAGTCAATTAGAAAGTACATCCAATAATATACGGACAATGTGCGAATTGATGGACGTTCAAAATATCGTGAATAATTCACACAACGATAAATCAATATATTCAACCGATAATGTACGGACAATGTGTGAAGTGATGGTAAAAATTACTCAATAATTGGCAGTAATATGAGGTATTTTGTGTCTTCCAGCTAAGTTAATTAAAATACGGTAAGGTAATACGTGTCATCAACACTGTACCCTCGTTGTCTACCCGATTTTCCACTACTGTTATTGCCTACAACACATATCACAACACCTATGTTTTTTCTACTCTGTGATCCACGTACACACAACGCATTGACCCAATAAACAACTCACCTCACATTTTTTGAAATGTGACAATCCTGTGGATAATAGTTGATGCTAAGTTTATTTTGGTAGCTTTTTTGTAAAGACTAGCGATGTTTCCAGCTTAATGTTTTTATAGCTAAGGAAAATATAAATAAGATGAGATATTATCATGCTCATGTTTTATTCTTATCCGAGAAATTTTCGAACTCATCTAGCAAGATTTGTGTGCTCGTTTTGTCATTTCCCTTGTTCCCCCTAGTGGCACAGCGGTATGTCTGCGGACTTACAACGCTAGAAACCGGGTTTCGATACCCGTGGTGGGCAGAGCACAGATAGCCCATTGTGTAGTTTTGTGCTTAATTCCAAAAAAAAAAAGAAAAAGCCTCCAGTGGCACAGCGGTATGTCTGCGGACATACAACGCTAGAAACCGGGTTTCGAGATACGTCGTGGGCAGAGCACAGATAGCCCATTGTGTAGCTTTGTGCTTAACTTCAAACAAACAAACTATTTAATTCCCTTGATTAAAATGTGATGCATACAAGCAGCGCCAGTGCGACGTGTTTTGTAAATGCACATGCCGCATGCCTGATCGCGCCGGCCATGCATTCAAGAAACACATATACATAAGCAATAATATTCAGTAGTACGCGTCCACCAGTGCTACAACCAGAAACTTATATTTTAATTATTTAGCTGCACCTACTTTGAAAGTTCTAGATATTTTTTATATTTGTTCCACTACGTTACATTATTACTTCGCTCCCTTCTGTGCGGTATAACTGAGAGCGTAGTGGGAAACAGAGCAGCGTCTCTCTCTCTCTCTTCATATAAGCACTTCACAAAATCGGTAAAATGATGTTTTGTATATACACTACAAACACGAAAATGTAATAAGGTAAGTGCCAACCTCAACAACTAAGTAACTATGTTCTTCGCCTAGCGGCATCTGCTGACATAATTAATTCCACCAAGTGTTAATATACTTTATTAAACTTGTTTTATTGATGGCATAAGTTATATAATAAAGTGATTTAATGGCTTAAATTTGCGTTTATCTATTTTTAGATTAATTTAATTCTAAATAGTTGTTATTTCTCTCTTTTTTTTAGTGCCACCTCGACGAATATTTGTTTTAAATGAAAAAGAAGAACGAATCCAAGGTAGCATTGGACCATTCCAGGAAGGAGACTCATTAACCCTTGTGTGTGTGGCTCAGGGTGGTAAGAGAAGGCATCATTGCTCTATCTCAATTCAGATGGCTGTATAAATCATAGAGTTTAATACGATCTGTTGCTAATTAATTCTATCCTGTTTTATTCGACCATAAAGTCCACTAAAACCTTGCCGCAGATCACAATAAAGAATTAATTTAAAATATTCTGTTTGATGTTCCGGTTGTAGGAAAACCCAGGCCGGTAGTAACTTGGTGGAATGACACAAATTTAGTAGATGACACGTTTACAATTGCAAACCACGACACGGTTCGTAACGAATATCTCATCAAGAACTTACAAAGAGAAAACCTTTTCTCCGAGCTCAGCTGTCAGGCATCAAATTCTAATATTACAGACCCCGTCACCAGCTCTGTAATCTTGGATATGTACTGTAAGTAGATTTACGGTTTAATATAATTAATGTTATTCAAATAAATATTATAAAATTTAATCATCATGACGTGTAAAATTTGCCGGCGTCTGTTCGTATATATATGTACGTATGTACATACATTAGAGTTTTGTTAATTAAATTTCGTTATCATTTCTTATCGAGTTTTGATGAAACATTTCTTTAATGTCTCCCCCTTCAACGACTGGAAAAGCCACTTTCTACCAGTTTGAATAACTTGATTTTAATTGATTATATTGCAACTAATATTCTTAAAACTGAGTTGCTTTATATATTTATAAACTCCATGTGCAATATGAATATCAAAGCACTTACTTTTTTTAAACATATTCTACAAAGTTCATAGTCATAATTGGAGTACAGAGACAAAATACACTCTTCCTGAGATACGACAATTGATAATTGTGCTTAGACTCTAAGTTTGAGTTTCAAAGATTACTTGAGAATTAAACCTGTATTTTGTTTTTAAGTAGACTTTTCTGGATTTTCTAAAAATGTATTGAAATAAAAAAAAAACGTTAAATTATACTTGGACGTTGTGAAAGACACTAAATGGAAACAAAAGACCGAGTAAAATCGTTTCTATAAATGATATAAACTTGAACTGTTCGTCTACTGAGAAAACATAGCTTCTTCTTGACCGAAAGATGAAATTTTAACCAAACATTATAGTTTATTCTGGATGTTCCCAGCGTAATAAAAACCCACGTCATTCAATCGATATTCTCGCGGAGAAAAACGACCTCCAAAATGAAGGTTACTTGTAGTTCCACTACGAAAACGAAGAACGAAAAATCCTATGAAAAAAATGCAAAGTTCTAAGTAGAAGTACCAGTGAAACTGCTATTTGTTTAGGCTGAGCCTATGTATTTCTTCAAAAAATGGGTATGGTTATTAATTCATGTCGAATAATGATATCTAATATGGCCGTGTGGCATCTTTCTTAAGGAAATGAACTGTCTACCAAATCTGTAAACCAAACAGAAAAATATTGCATCAAGATAAGTGCAATGACGATATCATGGCATTTCTTACATAAACACTATTTTCTGTGTCATTCTGTTTCTTTTGTTGTTTATGATTTAAAATAAACGTACCGAAAATGTATCGTACTTCAGTATTTACGCCTTTCGTTTAATTGCGTTTATATCGTTGAAATAACCCTTACAAAGTTTGGTTGATGATTCAAAGCTAACTAATTTTCGTAAAGGCTTTGAAATAATTGTAAATATATAATAAATAAACAATAATAAGAGCTCATAAAGGCATTGTTTATTGGTCTAAGAGATTTATAGTACCTATATTTTTGGAGACCATAAAACACACGTTTGAAAGGATGAAAGGAGGAATCGAAAAATAGATGCGTTTTCAAATGTACGACCAAAACAAAACACACTTCCTTGTACTCATTCAAGTTTTAGTATATTCATAAGCAAAAAACAATTACGAAGCTCCTAGACACTAAAGTCACGATATATAAATCCTACTCAATTCTCTACCAGCTTTCATCCTGATGTGCTATTACATTATCATCTTAGAGAGTTCATAAATAAAGAGGAAAAAAATAATTCTAAGATTAAACTACTCAAAGATAACAAAACAATCTAATTGGTTTCTTGCAGATATTAATCTAATGTGAAGATGTGTTGAAACAATGATGCATAAACCCAGGTTAAACATGTTCTGTGACTTTTAATGTGAAATGTTTAAACATTGATGCAAAAACCCAGGTTAAACATGTTAGGTGACTTTAATGTAAAAATGTGTTGAAACAATGATGCACAAACCCAGGTTAAACATGTTGTGTGACCTTTAATGTGAAAATGTGTTGAAACGATGATGCACAAACCCAGGTTAAACATGTTATGTGACCTATTTCAGGTAGGATAGTTTGTTGGAAACAGCCTTAAATTACTTGCTGATTTAACTGATTATATCGACATTTTATCTAGAACGACTGCTCTCCCCATAGAACAATTTATCAGATCGTAGGGTCACTGCCTAATGATATGAATCTGCTTAATGCTAAGTGATAGTTAAAGTGTTAAAAACGCCTTGATTTATTAACATGCTAACAAAATATACACCAACAAGTACTGGAGATAAATTTTCGAAATTTTCTATTATTCCTTAATGTGTCTAAAATCTACTTATTAATGCAATATCGGTTTACTTAGCATGTATCTCGAAATTAAAAACACGAGAATGTAATACACTTTAATAGATGACTCGTATTAGATGTATATGTTAGCGCATTTAACTTAAAATGATACATTTCTCTATCCAGTTTTGTAATTAATTATCTGACCAGAACATATTACATGTACGAAACAGCCGAGTCAGAATAAAGAGGTCGGCCATATAAAGATGTAATATAAAAAAGGAGTAAAAAGAGTAAAGCCCCCCTGAAGATGTAAAGTAAGAGTGGATAAGTTAAACAAGAAATAATAGGGACTACATAGTCTATTTTTAATGCAGCAAGTAATATAGAAGGGGGCACCAAAGTTTTCTGTTTCACGTATCTACTTTTACACAATATTTTTATGGGGTTAGTCCAAACGTGGTCCAATGGTTATGGTACCAGAATGTGAGTCAGAGGTACCGGGGTTTGAGACCCGTTACCGCCAAAACGTTTTCGCTCCACTCTTTGGGTGTGTTGAAGATTAGCGATCAAATTCCACTTTTCGATTAAAATAACCCATGAGTTGGCGGCGGGTGGTGTTGGCTATTGCTTTCCCTCTAGTCTATCACATTAAAAATTAGGTACAGCTACCACAGAAAGCCTTCGAGTAGCTTTTGCTTGGAATTTCACAAATAACAATAACTGGTTGTTTATATAACCTGACTTTGTTTTTGATATCACATCCTTATATAACTTGACTTTGTTTTTGATAACACATCCATATATAACCTGACTTTGTTAATGATATCACATCCTTATATAACCTGACTTTGTTTTTGATATCACATCCTTATATAACCTGACTTTGTTTTTGATATCACATCCTTATATAACCTGACTTTGTTTTTGATATCACATCCTTATATAACCTGACTTTGTTTTTGATAACACATCCATATATAACCTGACTTTGTTAATGATATCACATCCTTATATAACCTGACTTTGTTTTTGATAACACATCCATATATAACCTGACTTTGTTTTTGATACCACATCCTTATATGGCTGACTCTGTTATTAAAACTTTGATGTTTTTGTATTGATCAGATATCAAAATAAATGAAGAACAATACAACTCGTATATCCATATCAAAATAAGATATCATGTGGTGTACAACTCGTATATCCATATCGAAATAAGATATCATGTGGTGTACAACTCGTATATCCATATCGAAATAAGATATCGTGTGGTGAGTAAAATACTTTAGACTTCTTTAAAGATATTTTGAAACCGAGTATGGTAATATCATACGTTTTCATTTCTCATACAAATTCATTACTACGCTGTTTTACTTCTGTTCCTATTCTATTTAGAAGTGAAAATTCACAAATATTTCGTACATGATGGAGAAATCTGACTATAAATTATTTTGGGTTACACCTTTGATTAACAGTATGAGCAGTGCATATTGTATATAGAAAAATATTAACACAGTTGAATACATCAAACTGTTGCTAAGTAGCTGAAAATGTCAACATTATTTTCGATCATATTTGATGATATGTGGAATGTTAGGTAACATTATGTTACTATATATTATATTTCTTTGGTATAAAAACTGACTGGCTTGAGAAGGCTTAGTGTCTCCAAAAGGATGTCATCGAAAAAAAAAATATTTTGGACAGAAAATTTCAGTAGCGTTTTTAAATAAAACACTCTGGCAAAATGATAACCAATTTCAAAAACATTAGAACATTTAAGTAAAAGTAGATAATTGTTTTTCAGTAAGACCTTTTGTGGTAGAAATACTCTCCCCACAACGTCCCCTATCGGTGGGAGAAAAAACACAGATATTGTGTCGTTCTATTGGATCACGGCCAGCAGCAAATATCCACTGGTGGAAAGATCGAAAAAAACTGACATCGTTTGCAACCATCGCGAGAGAAGGAAATTACACCATCAGTAAGTTGACATTCACACCTGAAGTAGGAGATAATGGCCACTATTTGTCGTGCCGAACAGATAATCCCTTAATCCCTAACAGTGGATTAGAAGATGGCTGGATCCTGAACGTTCACTGTAAGTTTCTTTACAAATTGAACACGTCGTATTTGTACTATTTATTTATTCGTAAAGCAACGAAGATTAGTTCTGACTTACTTTGAGTCGTCTATATATTTATTATTAACATCCTACAAATAAAGGTTGCATACTACATACCAGTCTTATAGCGAAACCGTGACGAAATCGGTAATATAGGCTTAACATTGTATTTCCAAATCATTGTTTAATAAAGTGTAAAACTTGTACAGTGTTTCTAGTTTTGTTTATAACTTTATCTCTAATAAATCGATACAGTACGTTATTTCTAGAGATTTATATATATATGTAGGTGTTACTATGTGTCTGGAAAGGGTGGGTCGAGAGACATTACATATGTATATTTGTTGTCGGTTCCTTTACACGAGTTTTGATCAAAGTTTCTAATCCTCTCTAAATACCAGCCACTTGTATTCAACGAAATGCGATGACGTAAAAAGGAAACCAGCAGAGACAAATACCACGTTTGTTATTAATTTAAACGAACTAGTCATCTTAGGACAACAAACGTTTCATAAAAACAAAACCAATAAATCATGGGATATGCAAATATCCCTATCAGACCGTTGAGTAGGACATAAAACCTTATAATTATTAGAATGGCTTCATGTCTGGAAAGAGGAAATCGTGATTCTGTATCGAACAGAATTTCTTAAGCCTTACTTATTCCTCTCTCAACACATTACTTCCCTCACAGTGTATGCCGAATTATGGGTCCTAATTACCGTGGTTCGCGTACTGTTACCGCAAAAAAAGGGGGGGGGCATGGCTCACCCTTTCAATCGTGGAAGCGTTATTATAATGGGACGGTCAATCCCACTTTTCATTGTTAAAGAATGGCCCACGATTTAGCGGCGTCTGATTTGACTAGCTGCCTTCCCTATTGTATATCACTTATAAACAAGGGACGACTGGTGCAGGTAGCCCTCGAGTAGCTTTACGCAAAATTTAACAAAAAACAACAGAATATATATAACTTATATATCGACACAACTCTACACATAAAAATACTGTTAGATAGTTGAAGTTATTTTGATAATTTGTTAAAATGCTGACAGAGTATCTTATAATCATAGCTTTCCCGATAGGTCAGCGATAAATTTAGCGAATTACAACTCTAAAATCCGGGGTACAATTTATTGTGGTGGACTGAGCGCTGTAAGAAATAAACTAAAGCTTACCGTTGTATGTATTTAAACAAGAAAATCTCTATTAAATGTTCAGGCGACGGTCAAAGTTTCTCAGAACCAGTTTTTTTTCTTTGAAAAAATTATGTTTTTATTTTCAGGCTAAGATAAAAATTAGTATTATTTACACTGTGTTTGTAGGCGTTTGCTCTATCCTAGGGTTGCTTTATCACCTATGAATAGATTGTCTAACACGTCAAGCTCTAAAACAAACAAAAAAATCAACTTCTTATACTATTTGATGCTACGCGCCATTTCGTTGACGTCACACGCATTAAAACACTTGAATTTAGTTGGGAATACACATTACGTTGAACATATACATAAACATATGGACATTCACATGGTCGTCATTAGGTTTCTACGAAAAAAAATGACGAAGCTTTAATCATTCAAGGTGTTTTTGAGTACACGGACACCATAATTATTGTAATTTACTGCGGTGATAAATCGTTACCTGGTTTCTTTAGCATTCGGGGGTGGGGTGGAAGAGGGGGTTCTTGGTAATTCACGAGGACCGCACATGTTTGATAAATAGCTCTTTCCTAGAATCATTACGATGTGGATCTATTCGGTCCTTGATATTCAATATGTTGTTAAAAAACCCACAACTCGATTGAAATGAGAGTGAATGTGACGTATTGAAACTACCATCTGTCTATGATGTCTTGTTTCACCTGAGTCTACTACTAAAGCCTAATAACACATTGAATTTCATTGGAGCACCTACGTACTCCCTGTTTCATCAACGTTCTTCCAATCTTCTGTATTCGGTTTCATAATTAAATTCAAACTACAGAAGGATATCTAACATTTTAAATGAATGCTGCTTGAGGTTAATAGTTTTATTTGTGTTTTATCTATAATTGCTTATACCAATGTCTGTATTAACTATTTAAGTTGGCATATGCTGAATTACGAGACTATTTCAACTTTAATATTAGAGAACATTCACTGTACAAATGTTTCATATTGTGAAATTTTCTAATATTCAGTCAGTAGTTTCTTATTCAATACACTATATATATATTTCATCATTTCAAACCAGACGTAAATTACACAGGCCTGCGAATTTAAACTTCATGTATGTTGTTTTTGGTTTCAATAACGGATTTTCCATAATTCAGCTACGCAGATTTCGAAAATAATATTCTTTTTTGTGTATCACGTAAGAATTTTTTTACAAATCGGAAAGAAAATAAACTGTTATGCATTATTTATTGTTATCAAATAATAAATAAAATATGAAGGAATTAGAAAGTGTTGCTGGCTCACATTTTTAAGAATTTACTGAATGGCCAAAAAAAAAAGCGACTTAAAAAGTGCTTCACGTAAAACCTTAAATAATAAATAACTCTTAGCATAAATAATTAGACGGAGTAGCGAAATAATAGGCATTTCGATCCTAATCATGATGGAAGTATTAAACAACTGAAATCATAGCTTAACTAAGATGTTGAAACTGTTCGGTTATTAAAAAGTTATTTTGATCTCTCTGTAGCTTAAGCTCCCCAGTGACACAGCGGTATGTCTGCGGACTTATAACGCTAGAATCCGGATTTCGATACCCGTGGTGAGCAGAGCACAGATAGCCCATCGTGTAGCTTTGTGCTTAATGACAATTAAATTGTAGCTTAATGTAATTTTAAAATAAGTAAGTTGTTATTATTATTGCTTCATCTAAAAACTATAAGAATGCTGACGTTGTTGAATTAAGTATATTATATTTTTTTTGCAATAAAAAAATAGTTTTTTCTACCTGAAATAAACCAAACTCAGGATCCTGACCAGTTTAATTAAGTTATAATTAATAAGAGTAAAACTGACCTATTTTGCTGACGTAAATATTTATTGTTTTATCCGGAGATGTTCCAGAGGTTTCTTTAAAACTGGGTTCAAACATACAACTGGATACGATCATGGAAGGAAACGACGTATACTTCGAATGTCACATCCACGCGAACCCGTGGGTTGATGACATTGTGTGGCTGCACGAGGGAATCCCCATTAAAAACAAACAGGAAGAAGGAATCATTATCAGCAACCAGAGTTTAGTTTTACAGCATATCAAAATAACATCACGTGGAAAATATCAATGTATAGCATATAACACTGAAGGCTCAGGAAGGAGCAATGAAGTTGAAATCAATCTGAAATGTAAGTTTACTGGAGTGTATGTTTTAGCTTACATAACTTCATTGTTGGTTCATTAATTTTCAGATTTTGAATATCATCTTATCGGACAGTTTTCTTTCCTTTATTTGAAATATTGAACATTCTGATTTCACACAGATAATGGAGCCAATCGATTTGGATAGCTAGGTATTTCAGATCTTGTTTAATATCCTACTGGCTTGTGAAAATAAATCATATAACAAAAGTAAAAACGAATCTTTTAAAGATCACATAGATTATTGTTAATAGTCTATTGATGCATCAAGGACACGTGAACGTATACTTCTTCAGAAACTAATTAATTATACAGGTTAAATCTTTCAAGAATGATTTCAAATGAGCTTTTCTTTAAAAATAAGAGAACCAGGCTTCGGACAATCTGTAAACTAATAGTGAAATATATTGCATTATTTATTATAACTATTTTTTACATCACATTTTATTCATAACGAATTCCAAGAGTACGGCACCAAATTCGGTTAATTCGTTTTTTCTTATCATCATAGATTCACATCTTAGAATTAGTCCTAATAATGAACTGTCTTTGAACGATATAAAGGGTAAGATCCTCAAAGATCTGTCGTTAAAAAAATATATAAATCGTCTTTATATATTTGTATTGAGCAACATACTAGTTATAATGATCTAAATTTCAAACAGGAAAAACATTTGTCGAAACAGCTGCTTTTACAGAACGAACCATTTTGAGTACCATCAAACGGTTTTAGCACTGTTATCTTAAATTTATATTTCTAAAATAATTTAACTTGCTTGTTCGTTGGCAAACGAATAAATATAACCCAGAACAATTAATAATACTGCGAAATGTTGAAGCCAATAGTTAATCAAGGTTATTGGTCATTTGATGCAGTATACAGGAGAAAAAACTAACTCCTGTTTGTTTTCGTAACTACTGTGAAAAATTAATGCTTATTTATTTCGGAAACTGGTGAAGAGATTCTTGATTTAAAATGACAAAGGCTAGCTTAACCTTACTCTTTAAAAAACGTATTATTTTTCCTTTCTTTTTTTCTATAATCAAGAAAAGAGGGGGGAATAAGGTAATGCCATATTTTAGTTTTTAAATTAAACAGATACTTTGAATTACTTTGAAAAACTCTTTGCGGGAAAATGTATTTTATCAGTACACACTTTCAGTATATTAAAAAGAGCTGCTTTACTCGTTAATCATTGATTAAGGCAGTGTCTGTCAACTGTCTTATTTTATCGTATATTTATTATCAGGCACTACTGAATTTTTATTTCAGGAAAGAGAAAGAAAATCAGACGTAAAAAGATTAAATTTACCAATTACTATTAATTTAAATATGAATTAATTCTCATTTTTGACTAAACATGAAGATTTAGTTAGAAATATTATTTTTCTTTCACTTAACGTCATCATTGAAATGACCTTCAACATTTTAATGAAGTTTCAAAGCTTTACATAAACAAATTACTGGTTAGCACATTCTTCGTACTTAGATCCAAGCCAAAGAAAATTAATTGCAAAAATTAAATGTGTTAAATTCTATTTAATTTTTCAAATTCAAAGTCGATCCTATAAATCCAAAAACATCATTAATGTTCTAAGCTTTACATTTCCCCATTGTTTTAATTACTTCTATTTTTATCAATTAATTAATTACTTTTATTCTTATCAATTAATTTAACTACTTCTATTATTTTCAATTAATTTAATTACTTCTATTCTTATCAATTAATTTAATTACTTCTATTCTTATCAATTAATTTAATTACTTCTATTCTTCTCAATTAATTTAATTACTTCTATTCGTATCAATTAATTTAATTACTTCTATTCTTATCAATTAATGTAATTACTTCTATTCCTTTTTATCAGTTAAATTCAATTAATTCTATTCTTACCAGTTAACCATAATAGCAAGAACAAAAGGGAACAAATGTTTAAAGATTAAAAAATACAAACAAAAATATTAAATTTGGAGTAAAATATATTCATCTTGTAAAGAAATTTTAATAAACGCAAACTCTAATCTTTATCACTGTACAATATAATTACCTTAATATTCTTGAAACAATAAAGACATTAAAGAATAAATTACATTTTACGTTAGTTCAACATCGTAGATATAATTAGTAGTTTCTTAGATAGGAGGACACGGTAATAAAAGTTGTTTTCCAACTTACATTTGTTAGGTGTACTTATATTAAATTTTAAGTTATTGAAGGGTTTGAAAAATATACATATAACATTCAACAAATAAAGAATAGTCCGGAAGCTTTGATTTGCTATATCTTTTTATTAATTGAATAAAATTTATCACGTTATTTTACAAAATCTAATTATGGGTTTATTAGTTTGATTGAAGTTAATATTTATAATAAAAAACAAAAAAATTCGCATGTTAACTACAATTGATCTTTGAGATTTGTACTGGTAATTTGTCAAATCTAAAATATTCAGAAATTAGCTGAAAACTTAATTTATCTACCAAATGTGCAATTTTCACAAATTCCGTCAGGTTGTTTTTTGAAGCGTGATATTATATAAACATCTTTTAATTTTCAAATTAACTATTAGTAAGCAAATTACAAGGTAGATGCCTACGTTCTTTAAAATAGTCCTTACAAAGGCATCATTCAATGGGTGATTTAAACAAAAAGATTGGTTAAATATGTGCATTTACTAGAAATAATCGTTTTAGGCATTTGTGTACTATTTCAAAGATTGCCTTAGCTGAGGTATTTTACTCTTAGAATAAATGTTGTGTGAAATGCGTAAATAATTTAAATATATTTAAAAGGCTATCTGTTTCTTTATCTATTCAGTTACTCCAGTGTGCAGTGACACCCGAGAAAAAAGCTATCGACTTGCAAAAAATGAAAGCGCCACAATTCTTTGTCAGGTTGATGCGAATCCATCGAACGTTGAGTTTTACTGGAATTTAAATAATTCTCTAGAAATGGTTGAAATCCATTCGTTTTCTGTCAACAGCTCCACAAGTGAATTGGTATATAGACCCAGAAGTGATATTGATTACGGAATATTGCACTGTTGGGCAAAGAACATCGTTGGTGAACAAAAGGAACCTTGTATTTTTAATGTGATATCTGTAGGTGTGTACAAACTTCATTTTTATTTTCTTGAATACTGGGTTTTTAACTTACATTTATTATTTGTTTGCTAACTACGATATGACATAGTTAAGTCCTCTGATGGGAAAGCGGTAAGTCTACGGACCTGCAATGTTAAAATCCAGAGTTCGATTCCTCGTGATGGGCACATCAGATAGTCCTCTGCTGCTTTGTTTTAAGCCAAACAAACAAGATATATTTAAAAGTCCCTATTTGCTTACATTTGGAATATTTTGGAGAAATCTTACCAGTTGTCCCTACGTATACCACAGGATTAAAATTTAAAATCAAGGAGAGTAAAAGTCTGATCAATCATTGTACATCTATAGCCGTTGGTTGAAGAACAGTGTGAGCTTCCAACCAACTAAAGATATTAAAAAATACAGTATTTCGGACTTGGTGGTCATTTTGATATAGATAATATATATTTGTTTATCACCCAAAAATATCTAGTCGTGCTTCTTTGTAAAAATTGTTTCTAGATATTGTTTTTGGCAATATAACACCCACAATCAATTGTTATACTTTCCGTTCGTTCAAGTTCTTATTAAGTATATATGATGATGTAATATCATACTACATACAGAACTGTTATACAGCTAGAATTAACTATGATGATGTAATATCATACTACATACAGAACTGTTATATAGCTAGAATTAACTATGATGATGTAATATCATACTACATACAGAACTGTTATACAGCTAGAATTAACTATGATGATGTAATATCATACTACATACAGAACTGTTATATAGCTAGAATTAACGTTAATTCTAGCTATATGACATTTCTGTATGTAATATGATATTACATCATCTAAATTACATTAGTTTTCTGTAATTACATTTTAATTGTCATATGGTATCTTTCATTCCTAATCTTATTATTAATTATTGAATTTTCTCGAGGCCTATCGCGTCTACATTTTGGCTTTTACAAAATAGTTGACTTTATTTATTTTCTCCTTGTTGTTTCCTCCACGTGTGTTCTAAGTGATAACAGTTAGTTAAAGTGGGAGTAGTTGTACTAGATACAAGTCACAGCACGTTTAACACGTTGTTATGTTTTATTACAGAACCAATATTATAGTTACATAACGTTCGATTAAAACTATTAATTTTACTTATTATATTGTATATTCATAAACACTAGTTTTTGGCTTTACTATTGCTAATGGTCTACTAAACTCCACAGGTAAGAAAGCTAATTTATCTCATATGACACGCTCTACTAAAGTTGCACCGTCGAAGTTCTATTATGAACTTTCATTGGCCGTAAGACGTTTTTAGGTAGAGTTGTGTGAAGTTTTACTTATAAGCGAGCATAATGATGTTACATTGTTCATTAATTAAATCGTTGACAGTTCTTGAAACCAGTATCTAGTGTTTGTGTGTTCCATAAATAAAGTATAATCTATTGTTTATTTATTAACACTTTCATTAACTCTATTGGTTAGAACGTTTAATAGATCTATTGTTTCTTATTTTTTTACTTTTTCAAGTTTCTTTTCCTTTTTTATACTTTTAGTATAGATATTGTTTTATACTGTTAGCTTAATAATATTTGGATTTAGAACTAACATAAATCTTCTAAGTTGGCCGATCCTCCTAGTTATTATTGGGTTTACGGTCGAAAATCTCGTTAACAGTGAGTGTACCCAACGGATAAAACAATGCATTTAAATTTTAATAAGTAAGAACATAAGAACAATATATACAATTAACTATGTTCGTTACCAATTTGATTTTTTAGTTTGCTCTAAGTGGGTAGCTTGCTATGATCAGAAACTAATATTAATATTAATAGTTTTTTGTTTGTTTTTAAGTATATCATGGTATTAGTGAAACTAATTTTGGAGAATCGAACTCGCGAATTATGATCAATTTTCAGTTACACAAGGACTAGACACAAAAAAAGTTTTAATTTAAGGAACTTGGAAGAATAAAATTACTTACAAAATTGGGATTCCCTTTTCATGCAACCAGAGGGAAAAAAATGAATTATTTAAAATGTAAGTCTTTTTTTTTAATATTAGATCATTAGTTCAGCCATAATGGAATCAGCTTGTTTGTTGTTAACCCAAAAGCAGCACAACGAGCTATCCGTGCTGCGTCCACCACGCGTATCGAAACCTGAATTTTAACGTTATAAGCCTTCAAACTTACCGTTGAGGCCAAGAAATAAGATCTTAATTAAAGCAAAGAAACCATGATAATACCCCATAGAATGGTTTTATATAAGCATTTAATACGTAAAAATCAAACAATTTACAGGCCGACCTAGTTCCTTGAGAAACTGTATCCTGTTCAATATCACAGCGAGAGGATTTTCTGTGCGTTGTAAAGAAGGCTACGATGGGGGGCTCAACCAATCGTTTCATTTAGAAGTCTACAGCTCGTTAAAAGAAAAGGTTTTCTTGAACATGACTCAAAATAGATCACCAACATTTCTTGCAACAAATCTGCCTCCTTCTACGTCATTTATTATTGTGATCTACGCTTCGAACTCAAAAGGAAGGAGTGCCACTATCATACTTACTGCGACTACAACTCCTGCAACTCAAGAACTTAAAGGTAAACATTTTTTTTCTTTTCTTTACTGGATATATTATGTAAATTTCTTAAATGATATTATTTATTAAACTAACGAATGCTTGATATATATATATATAAGTGATATCAGTGAAATAAAAAGCGGGTGTTAATAAAATCTTCAATAACCATCGTAACAACAGTATCGTCTTAAATATAAGCGTCTTCTTCAGATACAGATTGGGCCCGGCATGGCCAGGTGATTAGGGCGCTCGACTCGCAATCTGAGGGTCGCGGGTTCGAATCCCCGTCCCACCAAATATGCTCGCCCTTTCAGCCGTGGGGGCGTTATAATGTGACAGTCAATCCCACTATTTGTTGGTAAAAGAGTAACCCAAGAGTTGGCGGTGGGTGGTGATGACTAGCTGCCTTCCCTCTAGTCTTACACTACTAAATTAGGAACGGCTAGCGCAGATAGCCCTCGTGTAGCTTTGCGCGAAATTCAAAAACAAACAAACAAACAATCAAATACAGATTATTAGAAATAAACGCACGAGGGCTAGGCGGGCAGGCTGTTAGAGATCCCCAAGATTCACGTATAGCCGTTCCCAATTGTGAACTATTCACCTGAGGGAGAGTGGCCAGGCAGCTACACCTTCGTTGACCTTTGAATTGAATAACGGGATTGAATTCCATAGCTAAAGAGCGGAGCGTGTTTTAGCAGCATTATGTCTCGAACCTTGAACCTTTCGTAATGCATCCCAACACACTAACAGCCTGGTCAGACTCGGCCTGATCAGAATGGATTCATCTGTGATTTTGATAGAATTTCAAAAAAAATAAACAACTAACTTACATAACGTCGACGTCGCCAAAGACTAAACTTTATACAAAACAAGTACTGACACGACGATAAGTTTACGTTATTACGTCCAGAAATGCTGAAAACTTTCGCCATATGATTAGGCGACACATTTAATGATTTTTGTTTATTTCTCACAACTCTAGCATTCCTTAAAGACCGCTACCGGATGAGCATCTATATGACAAATAAAAGTTTGTGTCACTTGAGTTGTGTAAAACTCTTTAAACCTGGTATTGTATTTCAAGTTGACTGAAAACTCATAAAAGCTTTATGACTGTCGCTCTAGGCCTGTAATAAATGTCATTAGATATTACGTCAAGACTTCAGTTGCATGTTTATGATGATAACCCAATTAGTTAATCTCTTCAAAAGTGCGGTAATATTATTAATAATATTTAATCGTTAAATGAAAAAGCAATGAATAGAGAACTGGTACATCCACACTGATTTTCAAACCGAAGTTTACCGTTTTTATGTGTGTTGAATTTCGCGCAAAGTTATTCGAGAACTATCTGTGTTTGCTGTCCCTAATTAATAGAAGTGGAAGACCAGAGGAAAGTCAGCTAGTCAACACTCCCTATCGCCAACTCTTTGGCTACTCTTGTATCAACGAAATGTGGGATTGACCGTCATATTATAACGCCCTCAAGGCTGAAAGGGCGAATATGTTTGGTGACGGGATTTGAACTCATGAACCGCAGATTGCGAGTCAAGCGCTCTAACCATCCAGCCTTGAAGTATACCGACAGAAATACATATTATTTCATGAAACAGCGACTAGTAATAAAATTTGACGTATGCTGGAAAGAAGAATCGGTCATTTAGTCGACCAGACGTTCTCTAGTATCGCATGCTGTCTCTACGTGATCGATAAAGAGCCAGACAAGCCAGCAGTAATAAAAATGGAATGAGAGGGAGCTCTCAAATGTGTGAAGCTGAAACTTCGGGGAAAATTTGTGCTCGGAAAAAAATAGAGATACTTACTAGTTAATGTTCTAATAATTTAATCTAAATTGAGTTCGGCTATTTAGACATTACTTTCTTGACCAAACTAGTCTTATATGTCTAAATCTAATTGATAACGCCGTATTAATCTGTCATTTGCTTCTTCTACCGGTGAACAAAGTAACTAGCATTGTATAGTCACTTTTTCATGGTATAATAAGTAGTTCGAAAAATGTTTTTTTTTAAAAGATTTTATTTAAAACAATTTTGAATAGTTTTATATTATTCAAGTTGAAAGAATAAAATTGATATATATGATAATATATGGATGTATTATTTTAATACAAACGATTCTACTACATTTCCACATAGATAAGAGGTTCCAAGAAATCGAAGAATGGGCTAAACGAGTAACTTGTAGTCTTTAACTAAACTAAACGAGTAACTTTTAGTCTTTAACTAAACTAAACGAGTAACTTGTAGTCTTTAACTAAACTAAACGAGTAACTTGTAGTCTTTAACTAAACTAAACGAGTAACTTTTAGTCTTTAACTAAACTAAACGAGTAACTTGTAGTCTTTAACTAAACTAAACGAGTAACTTTTAGTGTTTAACTAAACTAAACGAGTAACTTTTAGTGTTTAACTAAACTAAACGAGTAACTTTAAGTCTTTAAACTAAACGAGTAACTTTAAGTCTTTAACTAAACTAATCGAGTAACTTTTAGTCTTTAACTAATCTAAACGAGTAACTTTTAGTCTTTAACTAAACTAAACGAGTAACTTTAAGTCTTTAACTAAACGAGTAACTTTAAGTCTTTAACTAAACTAAACGAGTAACTTTTAGTCTTTAACTAAACGAGTAACTTTAAGTCTTTAACCAAACTAAACGAGTAACTTTAAGTCTTTAACTAAACTAAACGAGTAAGTTTTAGTCGTTAACCAATCATACACTGAATATTTAGTAAAATTAACTGTCTCTTTTTATATATTCAATAAGGATAAAATCATTCCTTGCATTTAAAGAAAATGCAATTTTATTTTAAGCTTAGGTAAGTTAAAACATCGTGAATAAAAAAAGTAAAACAAGGTCAAGACTTGATTCAACTGTTGACTAGCTGCTGTCTCATAATCCTTATTCGATCACCCTTATTTAAACGATAAGCATATATATTACCTTAACTAAATTGTAAAATTAGTCAAATACGTGGAAGGCATTCCTACACAATTGCATATTAAATCTCTTTTTCATATAGTAAAACATACTTGTAAAGCATCTTCTTACGGAGTGAACTGGCAATTTATTCCCCCTAAGTGATGTTTCGAAATTCTTTTCTCTTTGTTAGATAAGATTCAGAAATAGTAGAAACTAGTTACTGCTATAGCAAGTGTTACTTTAATGTCCTTAATTTGGATATTATTGCCTGTTAAATATAGTCACTCTGCAAATGGATGATCAGGAATATACTTTTTTTTTCAGTCTTTCTTAAAGCTTCTTTTAATGATTAGGCTTAGAGAATATATATGGCTAGTCGAAAAAAAACGAGATCATCAAATTACTTAAACATCCTTGTTGTTAAAAGAAGTTAATGAATAAAATATCAGCAACTTAACTCAACGTCAGGTTTATTTTTGGAAGCCACATCAAAAGAAGCATAAGTAAATGGCTTAAACATCCTTGTTGTTAAAGGAAGTTGGTGTAAAAAACACCAGCAACTCAGCACAACGTGAAGTCCATCACTGAAATTTATGTTTCATTCAGAAACGCAAGTATATTAATTAATCAACCTTGCTCTCAATATGAATTAATGAACTAAACCTCAGCAAATTATCAGGTTCAGCCATGGAAGTCATTTTGTGTTTCTAACAAAAGTGGCAATAAATTAAATATGTCAGAATCAAATTGTTTAAGTGCCTGAACCCGTTAATATTTTGAAGATTATTAAGTTTCAGAGATCAGGTATCACAGCAACAGTATTCCCTTCTGGTAATGTTAATCAGTTATGATAAGATGAGTTGTCTGTTGGAAGGAAGGAAGCTAGTCAGCAGCACTAGCCGCCAAACCTAGGGCTACTACTCTATCCAAACATTAGAAATTTTACCGTCGTTCGTAATTATAACATACCCACGGCTGGAAAGTAGGAGTGCGATATAAGCCAACGGGTCTCGGACCATAGACCCCCAGATCCACAATCCGACACGATAATTCTTAGGCCTTTTGCGTTTTGATATGATATTAGGTTTAGTAACGTTTAATGATTTTCGTCATTTGTCGTTGACCGAAGTATTTCATTATTCTTTAATTAGCATAATGTACACTGGACTTTAATTAGCATAGTGTACACTGGACTTTAATTAGCATAATGTACACTGGACTTTAATTATCATAATGTACACTGGACTTTAATTATCATAATGTACACTGGACTTTAATTACCATAATGTACACTGGACTTTAATTAGCATAATGTACACTGGACTTTAATTATCATAATTTACACTGGACTTTAATTATCATAATTTACACTGGATTTTAATTAGCATAATGTACACTGGACTTTAATTATCATAATTTACACTGGACTTTAATTAGCATAATGTACACTGGACTTTAATTAGCATAATGTACACTGGACTTTAATTAGCATAGTGTACACTGGACTTTAATTAGCATAATGTACACTGGAGAATAACAGACATTGAAAAACTATAACAAATATGAGCAGTGAACAGAAAAATGAATATATTTATTGGCAATGTTTCGTTGTATAAGCTTTAACAAGGGTTAACTGTATCATACCAACCTAGTCTATAACTGAACGAAAAGGCACGGAGGACAAAAGAACAGATTTAACGCAACAAAAGGTAACTACAATGGCATATAACTAACCATATAAATTGTCTACTTAATATATTCGACATCTGTGTTATTGCGACGAGGAGTAATATGCAATAATTGAAACATAAGATTGATTGCGTTATATGAAAATAAATTTGTATATGAATATTAGAAATTCACAACCACATGCAATGTAATGTTGCGGTGGTACTGCATGCATCAGTACAATATTTTGACATGGCGTGGTGTTCGTACGTAGTGTAATACCACTGAAAATTGATTACTCTTGGAAGGTTATGTAACAGCCATTTTTAACACAAAATATTCCTATACTCAGATCATAAAGATGTGTTCAGATCGGGGATTTAGAATTTCCAGAACGAGAGTATATATATATATCCCTTGTACTTTAGAAATAAAAGAATGTGAATCAACTTAGGAAACAAAGACCACTCGGTAAAAGACTTACAACAAGTCATACTTCATGTGTGGTAAGCAAAGTGCAGCATTTTATAACAGGTGTGATTAAACGAATATAATGGTCAGTGGCTAAAACCGTTCACATTCCCCCATCAACTGTAAGCAACACAAACAAGAAAGATCTCCGTTTCGAAAAGAGACACAAGTCAAGTGTATACAAGTTTCTTCAAACAACATATCCGTTTAATCATCATATTCCTCAAGCAGCTGAAGAACGAAACAGGTATTCATGCTTTATCATACATAGAGATCATAACACAAGACGCAGCGCAACTATGGATTTCTGTGCAATCGGACTGTTAAAACCAGTGATGGGAAACCATCATCTTCAGACACTAGATGGCTGTGGGAAATCAAGCAAGAAATAGTGGAGTTCTTTTGACATGACATTCTTAGGACGGAGCATTTTGCATTGAATACTATGCTCCAAGGATTATTATCAAGATGCACGTTCGTCTGAAAGCGTATGACCTAAGGTAGCGAAAAGGACTGGTACGATGTGAAGGATTATTATCAAGATGCACGTTCGTCTGAAAGCGTATGACCTAAGGTAGCGAAAAGGACTGGTACGATGTGGGGTGTTCATAAAGTCGTTTAATAAACGTATTAAAACTCTTCGTGTATTATTACATTGTTGTGACCTTCTGTTGTATTGTTTAACTCTGTTTTTCCGTTCTACGTGCATATTTCGGTTAGCGACAAGGTTCATATAATATAACTATCCCTTTGTAAAGCAGATGTAGCGAAACGTTGGTACAAAGCTAATCTATTTGTCGTAAATGTTATAAGTTTTACAGAGGACTGAAATATGTCCAAGTCCATTCTTAGGCTTTGAAGTAAACCAGATCATCTTTTTGGGCAGTATTATAAATGTGCACGGTTGATGAATGCCTTTTAGTACAGTTTATTAGTAAAGTTTATTGGTATCTTTTAGTAAAGTTTATTTGTTCTTTTTAGTACAGTATATTAATACAGATTTAGTAAAAATTTTTATTATAATTTAGTAACGTATATTAGTACATTTTATAAAGTTTATTAGTACATTTTAGTATAGTTTATTAGTGCATTTTAGTACAGTTTTTAGTATATTTTAGTAAAGTTTAGTATATTTTATTACAGTTTATTGGTATCTTTTACTACAGTTTATTTGTTCTTTTTATTACAGTATATTAATATCTTTTAGTACAATTTATTAGTACATTTTCATTATAAGACAATATTTTTTTCCAGGGAATCCAAAAGGTGCTCCCATTAGTCCAACTCTTGCAATCGTAATTGGTGTTGTAGGAACTCTTGTGGTGTTAGCCATTGCTGTGTTGGTATTTTCAAGATGTCGTAGAAGGAGAAACAATGCAGGTATGTGTTGTTAGCAAATTTGAGCAGAATTTTGATCCGTCTGTTGATGAATCATTCTGTGAATTGTTTTTCGTGATAATCAAAAACAAAACTGATTTACACTCAAAAGCAGATATCATCTCTAGATACCGTCAAGGTGTGTGTATATATATATATGTTTTATTTTTTAAGAACTTAAAGTGTATTCACATCAGGAACGCAATTTAATTGAAACATGTTCTTATAATCAAATATTTAAAGTATTTTATGCTATGATTAAAATAAAATTTATCAAAATTCTAATCCAAGTTTTACACCAGTATTGATTAAACAGATCACAAAAGCTTATGTTAAGTTTATCTTTCAAATATAACAATTGGTATCGAAAACAACTTTAGTTTAAAATTCTAGTTTCTGATCTGTATCAGATTAATAATAATAATAATAATTAACAAGTCTGAAATAAATGGATTTTATAATAGTAATCCACCTTGATAGGTTAAATTCTCAGTAAATTTTGTGCGAAACAGAACACCGAAATGTAAGTTATCATTATTCTAATCGAGGAAATAGAACAGATAAGTGCGATTTCTGTTTTACATAATAGTTTAAATTATGCTTTAGAAAAAATATTTTTGATTTTTGATATTTTGTTATTTGTTATTGAGAATTATGCATTCAAGCGAATATATATATATAACGAACCACAGCCGTGTGTAAAAACATCACATCAGATACTACACTCCACACACGTGCGTACTTTTATCTGTTGGATATTTCAAACCTGCCGTTACTTCGGTATATGTAATACAGCCTATTAAGCTTTAAAATATGGTATACTTTAAGCCTACTTGTACCATGTGATACAGATAGGAATCAATTCACAAAGCTTACTGATCAGTACCCAACTTACGTCATTGCGAAGTGTGAGTACCAACGTATAATCTTACTATAGGTCACACGAGATTCTTGAGCAACTAACATTTGCTAGAAAAGTTTTTTGGTGACATACGTAATACAGATATAACACGATTCGTTGGGATTTCAATTTATTCATGCTTAAAGTATGTTCTCACACGTGAATGAAACGAGCAGACGCCTTTTGCCTTTAGTGGCATTACTCTTCCTTCATGTCATGAATTTTTGGCCATGTACTTATTTATTTTAAACGTAATAACAAAGTTTTCGATCCATTGCACAGTTGCAGTAGACAAACTTTCTATTTTTAATTTTGTCATGTTTCATACTTTATATGAAATTTTCCTGTTTCAATAGATAAGAATCTAAACCCAAACTATTGGGTTATTTGGAAAATGAGGTTCTTAAGAGACTCAACTTAAGTTTTTAATTGCACGAAACAGCCACATAAAAGCGACTGTGATGCAAAGAAAACCTGTACAAGCCGAATTCATGTCGTTTCTTATATTTCTTTTGGGCAGTATAAGTAGGCGAAAAAACGGAAAGGTTAGGCCTATAATAAGGCGATTTGAAACCGTCAATGCAACCGAACCGAAAAACATTTTTCTGTAAAAAAGTCAGAAAAGGCGTAAGTTCTGGCCTAAGTAATACGCGTGAAAAAATTCAGTAATCGATATATATATATATATGTGTGTGTGTGTGTGTGTGTGTGTGTGTGTGTGGATTTGACTGCTACAGCTTGGAAGGATATACAAACACACAGACGAGGAAGTGAAAATTTCTAAGGCAATCAATATAAGTCAAACATTAAACTCCAGAAGACAAACTTCTGGCTTACTCCAACTCGAAAATTTTTGTCTACGGTCACGTACGTAATCATCTTCTTTCGCTAGTTTCGAAGTTTTCCAGTAGGGCACACAAGAAGATAAATTCAAATTTAAAACGTGCTTAAAATATTAATCTTAGGACGTTGAACTTTAAGTTTTCCATCACACTTTATTTAATTATGTTCGAAGTTCTAGTTATTTTGTTTGATACTTTACGAATAATCATTCTACTTGTTAGAGGATTGTGTTTAAAATGAAATTATTGGTATATAACACAAACAAACGAAAAAAAAAAGATTATCAATGGACTACCTGAAGGTATAAATTGCATTCACTGTCTTATACTTTTAATTTGTCAGAAGCCTCTAACGATTTGTGAATAATATGATATAAATGGCCTTATGACGAAGCTTAATAGGATTTTATAATGTTTTCGACATCAACATTCACGTTACAATTTTGATAAATTTGACCTTCAAATAACCTTCTCTATAGTGGTTGTGATGAGGCTTAAGTTGCTGTTTTGTTTTACTTAACTAGTAGTAAACTTACTTCTCCGGATGGCCTGCAAAAATTGGGTTGAAATAAAGATCTACGTTATATGTCCGCGTATACCATTAAGTATTAATAATAAAACAATTTAAAATGAGGATCTCTAGTTTATCAAGTTTCGCCAAAGTCAGTTCCTATTTGCTCGAAAAATTCAAAACGTATTTTTTTTTATTCTAACTCTTATTACAAACGTTATTTAGTGTACGTAATGAATGTAATCTCGTTTGCCGGTTCCATTATAGGCCACACTTACTATCATGCCGTTATTTTCAATATCTTTACTAAACTTGCATTTTACTTCCGTCTGTATCTTTATTTCAGGTGAGCGAAAAGAGGAACAGAAAGAAATGTAAGTATCCAATTATGTTTTGTCCAGTGATTCTACGTCTTCGGGTGTGTCCTATTTTCACACGACACGTTGTTTAATCTGTCGTTTTGTTTGCGCTGTCTTCGTCTATTCGATTTGTATTTGTTCTGTCAACCAACCAAGAGATAAAAATCAAGATGATGATGAATTGGTACTATTGAGAAAATCCCTTATATGTATTGAAGTTGTCAAGATGAAAGGTTGGTTAGGTTTATCAAAAGGCTTTTCACATATTCTGAGTAGTCCTAACAAAAGAAGTGTTTTTGTGACTCAAACAAAATATCATTGTGAAATTACTTGCAACTTTCAGATATCAACAACTTGTAAAGTTTCAGTATATTCATTGTTCGTTAAGACAACGATTTGTTTAATATTATCAACATAAACAAGAAAACAGCTTACACAACATGGGTTTATTCACTGGTTCTAGCTAAGATTTGATTGTTCGTTAAGACAACGATTTGTTTAATATTATCAACATAAACAAGAAAACAGCTTACACAACATGGGATTATTCACTAATTCTAGCTACCAGTTCATTGTTGGTTAAGAAAACAATGGGTTTAGTAATAGCTACGAGTATAGATAAGGAACAATACAGGCTACGCGAAATGATATTGTCCACTGGTTATAACTACCAGTTCATTGTTGGTTAAGAAAACTATGGGTTTAGTAATAGCTACGAGTATGGATAAGGAACAATACAGACTACGCGAATTGATATTGTCCACTGGTTATAACTACCAGTTCATTGTTGGTTAAGAAAACGATGGGTTTAGTAATAGCTACGAGTATAGATAGGGAACAATACAGGCTACGCGAATTGATATTGTCCACTGGTTATAACTACCAGTTCATTGTTGGTTAAGAAAACAATGGGTTTAGTAATAGCTACGAGTATACACGAGAAGTAATACAGACCATAGCCTAACAGTTATACATATTTGTATTTTAAATTTGTGGCAAAGCTACTAAGGCTACTTTTTCAACAACAAACCAGAGGACGATAGACAAGACAACCAGTCAGAAGAACCCTACCACCTACCATCCACGCTAAGGGTTTTATTGTTACTCTTATAATGCACCAAAAGCTGAAACTGCGGGTAATATTTTGTAGTTTCGCACGGATTCGAACGCGGCTCGCAAACTCTGTGATCCAGAGATCTACAACAGGGCCAACCACGCCGTTTCTTTGATATGAATATCATGAAAAGAGTTTCACAATTGAAATCGTAAGCGTCAGTGAAAATGCAACTCACGAAACAAAACTATTTTTTTGTGACCAGTCACGATGAGAAGACGTACGCGGGAAACGTATGCTCTCGTCATACAGGGCGTCACAAAAACATAACTTATTACATAGTCAAAGAATACGCTCATATGTTATTGGCTTGAACTAACCTAGTTAAGTATTTAGGTTTTGTAACAAATGCATCACGTGTTTACATGTACGGCATTACGCTGAAATGCGTATTTATTCCCTGAACAGATTCCGCAAGCGTAATGCTTTAATGTATAAAAGAGAAGTTACACTTTCTGACAGAAATATAGCATGAGAGAAATATTTTGGCTATTATTCATTTGTGTAGAATGCAGCCCGTATGGAATGAGTAAAGACCTAATATAAATCATAAAATGGGAGATATTATTATGGTTATAATTTCAGGCAGATGAAGCGAACTACATAAATTTCCATTTGTCAAATATTCTACATTCCATAAATAGTAACTTTTATACTGTAAATAATTCATGTGGTAAAAAAGTAAAACCCATTCATTTTTGTTCGATATTTCTTAAAGCTGAGCAAACTCAAGTACATAAAATATAATATCAGTATATCATAATCACAATATCTTTTATTTCTGTATACGTTCGAGTAAATGAACCGTGAATACCTACCTCAGGAAGTGACAAAGTATGCACAACTGACCTGTTATAATTGCAAATTCAAAACTATAACTACCAGTTCATTGTTGGTTAACTATGGGTTTAGTAATAGCTACGAGTATAGATAAGAAACAATTATTACTTTCAATCGATACTGAAAGTTATCAGTTCGTAGAAACATTATTTATACACTTTTTTTTAGCGGTTTAATTTTTAGCAACTAAACTTTAGGTAGAACTCGGGAAACTTTACCCAGTTTTCTAATCTTATGTTACACGTAAGCCATAACTAACTTACTCTGAACAATCACTTTGTAATACATCACTGACTTACTATGAACAATTGGTTTGTAATAGATTACTGAACTACTAGGTTTCATTTCTAGTAACTAAACTTTAGGTAGAACTCGTGAAACTTTACCCAGTTTTCTGATATTATGAACGCATAGCTTGGAATATAATCACAGATTTCAATGTGGATCGTTTCAGTCTAGAAGAATTTAATATAAAAATAAAAGTAACGTTTACCATACATATATTACAATTTGAAATTCAAGCAGAGTAGTTTCGTAACATATATTTGAGAGTTTTCAAATATGTATCTTATTTTTCGTGTTTTGAACAACAGCCAATAGCACTTTCTCACAAAAAACATGTCTAGTAAAAACAGTCGAGGTTGTAAACATTTTCAATATTACCTGTGCTTCAAAAATTATATGTATGTGTAAAACTGGATTGCCGAATCCCCGTCCCACCAAACATGTTCATCCTTTCAGCCGTGGGGGCGTTATAATGTGACGATCAGTCCCATTATTCGTTGGTAAAAGAGTAGCCCAAGATTTGGCGGTGGGTGGTGATGACTAGCTGCCTTCCCTCTATTCTTACACTGCTAAATTAGGGACGGCTAACGCAGATAGCCCTCGTGTAGCTTTGCGCGAAATTCAAAACAAAACAAAACAAAAACTTATCTTAAAATGTGTATACTAGAAATAAATAAAATATACACGTATATTTGAAAGTATTTCTTCAAGATAAAACCCGCGACCCTCAGACTGTGAGTCGAGCGCCCTAACCACCTGGCCATGCCGGGGCTTTTAAGATAAGTCTAGTCCTCCGAAACTAGGTACGAAAATGACATTATATGATTCAATTTTGCTGGGTATGTATATATATATATATGTGTGTATGTGTATTTTAAATTATTTTCCTTATGATAAATCTCCCTTTTTTACTTCTGATGTATAGATCTGGTTCATTTGTGATCCGAAATTTTTTCCCGTAACCGTACAGACTTATATAAATAAGCGTGTTTTGGCAATATTCATAACAAGTCCGCCAAGTGGTTTACATGCAGGACTGCAGAGCCGAACATTCGTGGTTCGCACCCTGTTATTGGCCACACATTTGGGCCATGTGTGCACTATAGAAGTGACAGTTAAATTTGACTATTCGGTCAGACAAGACTAGTTTTAAAGTTGTCAGAGGGCGTGGTTTACTAGCAGAATTTCCTCTTTCTATAACCTAGCCCAGATAGCCCTCGTGTAGCTTCGCGCGAAATATAACAAATAAAACTACTTGCGTTAAGTTCTTGCGTACTTTTACAAGTTTAATTGGTAGACTTAATAGTTATAACTATGAATTTAGAGAAATCATTATAGAACGCAAAATAGATTATTTTCATACACGATCATTATTAATTTACTAATAGGTAATTGATATCACTTTCAAGATAATTATATTTAAATTAGAATAAAACACTGATATCAGTTACGTACAACTGAAAAATATTAACCTCAGGACTGATATCAGCTACGAGAAACTGACAAATGTTAATCACGCTACTGATATTAGCTACGTACAACTGAAAAATATTAACCTCAGGACTGATATCAGCTACGAGAAACTGATAAATGTTAATGACACTACTGATATTAGCTACGTACAACTGAAAAATATTAACCTCAGGGCTGATATCAGCTACGAGAAACTGACAAATGTTAATCACGCTACTGATATTAGCTACGTATAACTGAAAAATATTAACCTCAGGACTGATATCAGCTACAAGAAACTGACAAATGTTAATCACGCTACTGAAATTAGCTACGTACAACTGAAAAAAATGAGTTTAAACGCTCAACAAGTAAATTTTCGTTTGTTTCATACAGTGTTTCTCAACCTTTTCCAATATTATTGACCCCTATAAGTCTTTCACACCAGTTCACTCACCCCTGACCTAAAATAATGTATTTATCAAACTACACCTAGAACAAATACAATATAAAATAAATGTATTTATCAAACTACACCTAGAACAAATACAATATAAAATAAATGTATTTATCAAACTACACCTAGAACAAATACAACATAAAATAAATGTATTTATCAAACTACACCTAGAACAAATACAACATAAAATAAATGTATTTATCAAACTACACCTAGAACAAATACAACATAAAATAAATGTATTTATCTAAACTACACCTACTAATAAATAATAACTAATAGACTTTTAGTTACTTACTAACTTTAGTTAGTATTAACTTAGTAACTTAATAA